TACTAATTTGAATATAATTTTCTTTTCGAATTTGTACAACATTAGTTACAAATGCCATTACAGGACTAGCACGCAACACGGAAGAGATGGTCGCCTTAAGCGATGCCGTGACATACTTAACGAACATTCATTGCATATAAAAATTGCAAAATAAAAATACATAATAACTTCGACAAAAACAGCAATTTTATAGCAATGATATGCAAATCCTTATTACTCTTATACATGTAATATTACCATCAAGAAGTTAAATTAACCCATAATACGATAAAAATTTCACTTTTGAAAATATACATTTCATGAGAGCCTTGGCTCCTGCACTAGGTTCCCCTCTGCTGCAGGAGCCAGTTTCTTTCCCCATTTGTGAACAGAAATACATCTTCGTGTCTAAACAAAAAAATACAATAACATACTTATTACAATAACTATACTAGTTGATTGATAATTGCCCATGTCAAAAAAAATTTTTTTGACTGTCTTCTATTTTAGCAATATCTAGCAGTATTATACGTAGATGGTCAATAATTGTCTTTGCAAATTGACCCCACTTGAGCCCATTGAAATTTGCAGCTATTAACCGGAAGTTTCATCAGGACTTGAGTACTAAACCTAACAAAGACTAACTGCCCCTTAAAGTTGATTCGATATAAAAAGTTTAAAATGACTGTGGCAGTTAATCTGCAATTTTAAAGTTCTATTTCCGACTGAAAGTATTTATGGGTTGTTTGAAAGAAGATATGCGTAAAAATAAAGTTATTTCATATATGTAAGTGACAGAAATGTGGAAGAATACGTTACGTATTGTGCCTATCCTCCGTAGGAAAAATGAGAAAGCTCAAATGGATGGATGTTTGTTAGAGTTTGTAGCCAAAACGGATGAACGGATCTTGATGAAATTTAGCACAGATGTAGAGCAAAGTCTGGAAGAACACATAGTCTATTCACTTTTGTTTTTAATTCCACGCGGACAGCGATTTGGGCGAAAGCTGGTTTATCATATTTGTTTGACAATACCCAGAAGAAACATATAACTAATAAAGATCTGCAGTCAGAAGAATAGAGTTTTGTTATTGAACATTCATAAATGATATATTCGAATATTAATCATAGAAATCGTAAACCTGTTACTACTGGTACAGAATACAGTGTACAGAGAAATATACAACTCGTTCAGTTTATTGCTGTAGCAATAAATATTTAGGTATTGCGATATCTTCGTGGCCATTACTTCACTTTGTAAGTAGATATGCTGATGTAGCTAATTCGAATTGACCTACAATTTACTCTGTTCCTGCCACAGGTGAATATCAAGATTAGTTATGCTACTCGATTTTACCCATTATCACATGCATCTAATTTGTGCTCTTTTAGGGTATAATTGTCGATACTATAACTTCGGCTTCTTAGTGGTTGGATATTTGGCAACTTCTATTTTTATAATTTAGATTTAAAATAGCAGTATTTCTTTTTAAATTAAAAACTATATATCATCCGTTTGCGTATCAAACTGCAAGTCAGTGTACATAATTTTCTTTTTAATTATGATTAGTGCTCTAATAAATAACTAGTTTTAAAAATAGAGTATCAAATAGTTTAAAATGTTAACCTTAAAGTAATATGAAATATAATTATATAGCAGGAGAGATACTAACGTGGCCGGAAAATATTTAATAACGGAATATCTTGTGTGGAAAGCGCTCCGCAGGCCGCAGGTTAGTGAGCTAACGTTTCAATATTACACCTAAAATATTTTCATTTAGCGCAACAACGTCACACGAATATAATAAACGTTTATCGGTAAATTTTATTTAATATCTTCGGTAGTGTTTTCCCAAAAACAACACAATATTAACGTGAAGCGAAAACTTTTTACCCATTTCTAAGGAAATTGCGCGAACGCAAAATTAAGTTATTTAACGTGAAAAAGTGCATATAGTTATACTTAAACAAAAACAATAAAAAAAACATATTTTAGCGTGAATTATATTCAAATTTCGACCAATAGGCCACCACTAGTTTCAAAAATTGTTCTTTACAATGTTATTATTTAGAAAAAGTATTCTAAGTTATAAGATATTGGAATATAGTCCTTTAATGGTAGCCA